ATCCCTTACATTATTAGTAATAATTACTAATTACTATTAATTATTAATAATCCCTACTCATCATGTGTTATGGTATGGCATTGTTCACATATTACGTTCGCACTTGGGGGAAGGGGAGGGGGTCGGCCAAAGCGAACTTTTGCGAACGAGAGGGGGGGAGGGGGTCAAGATTTTTTCAAAAAGTGCGAACGTAATATGTGAACAATGCCTATTTATGTTTAGTTTTTAATAAAATGATTCAAGTATTGTAATAATGCTCACTCTTACCACCTGGACACTTCTGTACTACAGCTTTAAAGTACACTATAGTGTTTAAAATGATTGTGGCAAATTAGTCGTTACAGTTTCAAATAGAAACTTTCAATGTTATTTTATAGAACAAAATATGCTATTGCAAAAAACTTAATTCATTTATTTTGATTGATCAACGATACTTTATTTATACTAATAGAGTTATTTAATCAAATTGCTAAAAGTAAAACTTTATTAACACAGTATAAGTAAAATAATTTATCTTACTGTTATGTATCTATTTATCAAAACATTGTACCGTACATGAATGTACTTTAATCATAAATCATTTTTTGCAATCAATTGAAATTAACAATTAATTATAGTATTTATAAAGCATAATCATACTTAAGGTGTATTAGTTTAAGTAATATTAAAAGATACATTTAATTAATTGTTTAATATTAAATATAATATAATTTTCAAAGTTAAATAATGTTTTAATTAAGTTTTACAGTCAACGGCGCGAATATACCCCCGATAACCGGCCTATTGACAAATCCTGGGGAACCACCAGTTTGTGTGTCAACCCAGTCGGAAAAGGGCACGTGGACTGAGGTTTCCCTAAGCCATTGGGCAGTCCTATCAAACATAGACTGTCGGAGTTTGGCGTTAGTAGAGGCGGCGGCTGTAATGAAAACCCAGTCATACAGAGTATTAGGTTTACCACTCATTAAGGGAACGCCGTATTTATTCTGCACAGTTAGGTACCACTCGTCCTGTTGTTTGTATATCTATTAATAAATAAAAATTGCAATAAAATGAATTAAAAACAATGTAAAACAAGTATCCAACCGATTCTGGGATCAATTTAGTGCCCAAAAGCACATCCGCATAGAAATTATACATTAAAAACCAGGTGTTGTTGTCATTATAACTGAGTTTCATGTGTTTATTAGAGGGGTCTTCTCCCATACGAATCCATTCCGTCACATATTTCTCAGCGATTTGTCTATACTTTTGTTGGTCGTCATGATTGCCGACCACTTCCGCCAACTGAGCCATAGCTCCGATGCCTACAATAGCTTTCGCCGAAAGGTTTGTCGAGTTTTTAGTTCTTCCTAAAAAGTCATCAGTGGTTAGAGCATCGCCTAAAATAATAGAATAGTAGTTATGTTATATTAATTGGTCTTATTATATTGAATAGTACCGGTGATCAACCCGTTATCCACTAAATATTGTGTCCATTGTTTAGCAATTGTGTAATGGTTTTCAGCAAATTGTTTATCATTAGTGGCCCTGACATAGGCAGACATCATGATCACCATATTGGCGCTCTCCTCCACCTCCATGTCCTCCTGTTTGCCATCTGTGTGTCCAATACAACGGGGATAATGAGTCCCCAAATCATGTATACAATACTTCTTGGGAAACAACCCTCTCTCCTGATTGTCCAGCAATGGGTCCAAAATGTACTTCAAAAGCATTGGATTCAAGTATAATTGGACGGGAATTGAAGGGAAAATTACATCCACTGTTTGACAGTTTCCATCCGATGATATCTCCTTCATCATCATCCACGGCTTATCCTTTGTGCCCACCATTTCAACACCACCATAAGCCTGTCATATATTTACAAACTAATATATTATATCTATAGTTATAGAATGGCTATTTATATCTTTTATATGAAATTTTACAAAATAAAGTATATACTGTATAAAAACAATTTTCAATTAAACGATTACCTGATCCTAAACTACATGTAATTCCTGTTCAGATTGAATTAACAGTTGCAATATTTCTCATACATACTATCTAATAAATGTTTAAGCCATACATACCTGCCTAAGTGCTGCGGAGACTACTTTCACATAACTATCCCCTCCAACTTTTCGAGCGTCGGTCTCAACCTTAGCGTCGAGAGCATTGGCCCGATTGTAGGCCTCCTCCCTGTCCTCATATACAAAGGACACCATTTCATTGTCATCGCCATTGAAATAACTTTCCCAGAGCTGATTTAGCATGGAGTCCGTGTATTCAATGGCCGGGCGTCTAACGTGTGCGATGCCATAGTAGGCAACTCCAGGTAAAGCATCTTGTAATGGACTGGCTGTTAAGTTACGGGCGTATCCAATGCCCGGCCAGTTGTCATTGATTTTACGAAAATTCTGGTCGACCTTATTATCGAGTTTACCATTCTTTACAAACTTTGTTCGCATAGTAGGACATGCGTTAGCCTAACGGTGCAAATACTTATTATAATCATTAACTTTTACAATTAAAATTTATTA